TGCAACCGTGCTGCCTCTGCTCTCTCCTAGGCTTATCCACGACTACCTGAGTGTGGCTCCCTTTGCCGACTACCTCGACAGCTTGTACTTCAACCGCTTCCTGCAGTGGAAATGGCTGGAACGGTAACGCTGCCCGGCACTGCTGGGGGACCTGCACCCTGTGTGCACAGGCTGCCTGAGGGATCCGCCCCTGCTGGGCCCTGGCAGGAGCCAGGGGCCTGGTCTTTGCTCTTGCTCTCCTTTGGCGCCCTTTATTGGCACCATCAGCCTCTGCTGGCTGCCCCAGCCTTGCTTGCCTCGCAGGGAAGCAGGGTCTGCTTGAGCAGGGGTTTTGGGGTGAGCCACAGTTTCTCAGGCCAAGGCGTGGGGGTGGTTTGGGCTTCAGCCCCTGCTCTCTCTCTCTGCTCCCATCTTACTCCAGTTTCCTTTGCCTCACAGGCAGCCAGTGACCAAAAACACTTTCCGCCAGTACCGTGTGCTGGGCAAGGGTGGTTTTGGGGAGGTGAGTGACCAGCATTTCCTTTGCATTTGGGGTACCAAGCAGCCACCATTGCCTGGGCTGGCCAACACAGTGCTACAAGCTGCTCCACCACCTGGAGGCAGGTGCTTCTGGCTGGGGGGCTGGAGGGGCTCTGTGCTGGGCACTGCTGTGCTCTGGGCGTTGCATGATCTGACAGTTCTCCCCTGAGAGGCAGGAGCCAGGCACTGGAGGTGTAGAAGGTGTTGCAGAGGGTAGGTAGCACGTGCCCTGTGGTGTGTACTGCTGCCTGGGCAGAGTCAGGTCTGTTCCTAGTGTCTTGTCAGGGGAAACTGCACTCCTGAAAACTGTCACTGTCAGGCTTCCTTCTGTTTCTGGAGTGGCCTACTGTCTTCCAGTCACCAGCCGTGGTGCTGCTACAGGTGGCAGGGGCATCACAGCCCTCCCTGTGTCCTTGCTTTGACAACGGGCTTCTCCCTAACCTCAGAGTGCAGCGGGGACAGGGATATCTTTACCTTCCCGTGCCTCTACCTGAGGGCAGAACCTAGACCACCAGCCTGGAAACTGCAGCGGGAGGGTGCTGAGCCTTGTGCCCCCTCCAGGTTTGTGCCTGCCAAGTGCGTGCCACAGGGAAGATGTATGCCTGCAAGAAGCTGGAGAAGAAACGGATCAAAAAGAGGAAGGGAGAGGCCATGGCCCTGAATGAGAAACAGATCCTGGAAAAAGTGAACAGTAGGTTTGTAGTAAGTACATAGGAATTGCTCTCACTTTGCTGCGGTGGTTGATTTTTCCTCCAACCAGCCGGCCTGGCACCTCAGTGCTTCTCACCCCATGTGGAGCAGACCCTGCCCAAGGGAGGGGTAGGGTCCTGGTGGCTGCAGATCTCTCACAAGGCTGGGGTCTGGCAGGACCTCCTACTGCCTCCATAAGATGACCTAAATGCCCCTGAAGTCAAGCCCAAACACCCATCTGATCTCACAGGCACCTTCTTAACCTCTGGTGCAGAAGAAAGCAGAGAGAACTGTCTCTCCAGACAGCTGAATGGGCAGAAGCCTGTCCCTGAGTTATGTGGTGGGGAGCTCTCTCCCTGGCTGCACTGAAGTGTGGAGAGCCTGATCCTTATGGAGGAGTCACCAGATGCTGCCCCACGGTTGCTGTTGGGTGCTGCTTGCTCTGGAGGGGAGTGGTTCTGGCTCAGGGAAATAGTGTCTTCCCTGCCTGAGGAAAGCTGGGGGTGTGCAGGGGCTGCTGGGCACTGCCATGTCCATGCTGCTTGGGTGACAAAGTGCCCATCAGAGTGTGGGCCCCTCCCTCTTCCAGCTGTGTCTTCTAACAGCCTTTCTGCCCTGAATTGCAGGTGAGCTTAGCCTATGCATATGAAACTAAAGATGCTCTCTGCCTAGTGCTGACCCTCATGAATGGAGGGGACCTCAAGTTCCATATCTACCACATGGGAGAGGCTGGCTTCGAGGAGCCCCGGGCAGCTTTCTATGCTGCCGAGATCTGCTGTGGCCTTGAGGACTTGCACCAGGAGAGGATAGTGTACAGGTGCGCACTGCCTGGACCCTGCTGGGACACCTTGTACGGGCTGCAGAAGCAGGAGGGTTCCTGCTGCTCTTACCAGCACAGCTAGGTCTGTCTGCTGAAGAAAATAAGCTTGAAAGCAGCACAGAGCTGGGGGAGAGGAGATCAGGAACAGAAAGTTGATCTCATGTGAGAGACAGGAGAGCTTAGCTTGGCTTCCTCCTGCTGGTAAATGATCACCAAGAACAGGATGTGATCACACCGTGAATGCCTCAGGGCAGGCACTTGGGTGCTTAACTCCCCAGGCAGTATTGACACTAGAACAAAGGAGGGTAGGCTGCCCCAGTACGATCAAGAGCTGGGCAGGAGGGAGAACAAGCTGATTGTATGACTGCTCACCAGGTTGTGTGATGCAGTGTTAGGGACAGCATGGCTAAACAAAGGGCCAGAAAGTCCTTTCTAGTCCTACCCCGTCCCTTATCCTGTGTCAGGACAAGCAGAACAAATCTCCGCTCTTTCTCTCTTGCATGGCCTGCCCCGTAGCAAGCTCTACACCTACAAAGAGAGGATCAGCCACAGGCTTACTGCTTTCTTGTGGAGGGTTAAAGATTGTCATGACCTGCCTCTCTGCCCAGGAGGGGAGAGCTTGCAGAGCTAGCTCCAGGGCAGGGGGTGAAGGGAAGGTCATCTGTGTGCCTGAGGCAGGGGCACTGCATCCCTCCGCTGCTTATCTGTGACTTCTTGAGGTGCTGCTGTTCCTTACGTCCTTTTCTTTCACAACAGGTTTCTTGCTAATCAAGTCTCTTCCTTCCTAGGGACCTGAAGCCAGAAAACATATTGCTGGATGACCACGGTGAGTGCAGGGTCAAGAGAAACCCTGGGTCCTCCTCTCTTCCTCTGCTGGAACCAGGGTTGCTCTGTGTTCTTTACAGCTTCAAACATTGTGCCATGACCTTGTCCTGTTAACTTGCCCCCTTCTCTGTGCAGGTCACATCCGTATCTCAGACCTGGGGCTAGCTGTGCACGTGCCGGAGGGACAAACAATCAAGGGCCGGGTGGGGACAGTTGGCTACATGGGTAAGTGGCCCTGGTTTAATTCTAAAAGTGTTCTCTGACTGCACGTGTGCTCCCCCTGCCCTCACACATCCTTCGCCCCTGCTCCTATGTAGCTCCGGAGGTGGTGAAGAACGAGCGCTACACGTTCAGCCCAGACTGGTGGGCTCTGGGCTGCCTGGTGTACGAGATGATCGAGGGACAATCCCCCTTCCAGCAGCGCAAGAAGAAGATCAAGCGGGAGGAGGTGGAGCGGTTGGTGAAGGAAGTGCAGGAGGAGTACTCGGAGAAGTTCTCGCCCTGTGCCCGCTCCCTTTGCACCATGGTATGGATGTGCATCCCTGTCCCTTTGTCCCCACCACCTCTTTGCACTCAGCAGGAGGAAATCAAGGCTGCTCCATGTAGTGCTGATGGCAGCCAGGTTCCCTTGTCCCTGAGCACAGGAGGGTCCGTAGGGCCTTAATTCCTCACTCTCCCAGCTGCCCAATGGGCCCATGCCATCCCTAGAGACATACTGCGGGAGCCCAGCCGAGCTCAGGGCTGCTCCTGCCCAAAGCACACTCCACCCGGGACACTGATTTCCTTTGTGTTGCAGCTCTTGTGCAAAGACCCTCTAGAGCGCCTGGGGTGCCAAGGAGCTGGGGCCAAGGAAGTGAAGGAGCACCCTCTCTTCAAGCACCTCAACTTCAAGAGGCTGGAAGCAGGCATGCTGGACCCCCCCTTCAAGCCCGATGTAAGTGCCTGTCTATGTCCTGACCTCTTCAGTCACTGGTGCTGTCAAGGGAAGCAGGAGCCCTGGGGTGGCTCACCTGAGGAGATGGCACCCATCCCCTTCCATCTCGTTGGCAGAACAGGGGTCAAGCAAGCTCTAGGCTGCAGGGAGAGGGGGCCTGGGCTTGGATATGAGACACAGTTGTTTGAGCTGGTGGCATCTTCATGGAGCCTGGCATTAGAGCAGTCCTTGTGCTGTTTAGCCCCAGGCCATCTACTGCAAGGATGTTCTGGACATTGAGCAGTTCTCCACGGTGAAAGGGGTGGAGCTGGAGCCCACGGACAATGACTTCTACCAGAAGTTTGCCACAGGAAGCGTGCCCATTCCTTGGCAGAACGAGGTAGGTTTGCAGGGCAGGTCTTTGCTCCAGCTTGTGCCCACCACAGCCAAGTGCAGTGTCCCACAGGGTTCGTGCTGCCCCTGCTGCTCTTGCACTCTGCTGGGCCCTTGGTGACAGGCTTTGTGTGGCAGTTGCTGCAGCCATCTTTATGCTCTTCCAGATGATCGAGACAGAGTGTTTTAAGGAGCTGAATGTCTTTAGCACAGATGGCACGGTGCCCCCAGACCTAGACTGGAAAGGGCAGCCTTCTCCACAGCCCAAGAAAGGGTTACTCCAGCGCTTATTCAGCAGACAGGTAAGAGTTTGCCCAGTGTTTCCTCCCCAGCAAGTCCTCTAGCACCAAGCCCACTCCTGCCTGTGCCAGGCAGATCTGGCAGGGAGGTGGGCATGAGGGGGAAGGTCTCCCCCTGTGCTGGGTGGCCAGACCCCAGGGCTCTTGGGGGACCCACGCAAGGCTGCAGGGAGCCAGCTGGTGCTCCCTGTACTGGGGGAGTCTAGGGGGCTGGGATGGAGTATCCTGGCTAAACATACTGCAGTCACAGAGGGAAAGGGATGTTGTTGAAGGCACTAAAATAGCAAGTCTGCTCCCTTCCTACATGAAAAATACTGTTCCTGGAGAAGTCCTTGCTCTTGGACTGTGGTCCTGGGCTCCCCAGAGCATTTCCACCAGACCTTGAGCAGGCAGAGAAAGCAGTGCTTTCGAGGGATGAGGAGAACGGAAATGTCTTGCAGCTGCCATGGGCTTGCTTGCCTGCCTGTCTCCTCTGCCCAGAACAGTGTTTGCCTTCTTTCCAGGCAAAGTCTGGGCTGCTGCCTCTCAACAGCTGCTTGCAGCTGTGGGACTCAAGTGTGGTTGGCTCTGGACACGCTCTCAGCCACCCAGTGCTGACTCCTGCTTCCCTGACAAGCTCCAAGTTGCACTTGACTGTTCAGTGGGCTGCCCTAGCCAGAGCCAGCTCTGGGTTGGGATACCCAGCCCTTCCCGAGGCAGGCAGGACCTGCCAGAGGATGGGCAGCTGCCTGAAGAAGGGGTTGAGCTGTGATTTGCCGCGTGTTTTCTCTTTCCAGAGGTGAGCAGTCTCTCCTGGCTGCTCTGCTCAGGGAAATACCCGGTGGCCCGTGGACATGGCAAGATCTGGGAAAGAGGAGTGTTGTCCTTCAGTGCCTATCCCCTTCTCCCAGCAGAGCACAAGCTGCTTGTTGTTCTAACTGCCCCCTGAGCCACTAATCTCGCTTCCCTGCTCTTGCTGCCTTCGTGAGGGAGGCCTTACCCTCAGCTTGAGCCAAAGCTGCCCCCGGCCCCGCCGCTGCTGGGAGCTCTGCTCCCAGGGGGCTGTGGGAAGTTCCCTTCACTCCTCTCTTCAAATGTCGGGGACACACAGAAGGGTTGAGAAACTGTGAAGGGTTTGGCATTGCCCCATGCTCAGGCTCCCTCCCGTTCCAGCATAAAGGGCTTCAGCTGCTTCTGCGGCCGGCTGAGCCGTGAGCAGGGCAAATCATCTGTGCTGGCACTGAGCTGTTTCCCTGGGTGGCTGTAGTCCACAGAGCCCATCTTCTTCCCAGCTTCTGAGCTAGTCAGCTGCGTGCTCACCAGTCTGTCTGCCAGGAGCTGAACCCCAGATGCAGCTTAACTGTTTATCTGCAGACTGGGGGTCCCCTCCAGCCCCTCGCCTCCATGTAGCTTGCCCGTGCACAGGCTGGGGGGGGGCCTGTCCGTTCCCTGCCAGAGGGCAGCTGTAGGCTGGGTTGTGTGACCGTGCTCACCCTCTGCTTGCTGTGCTCCTCTCTCTCCCTCCTCCCTCTCCTTGCCCTTCTGACTTCAGGACTGTTGTGGAAACTGCAGCGACAGCGAGGAAGAGCCCACCCGGCTGTAGAGCACAGCTTGTTCTCCAGCCCCTGGGACCCCCTTGCCTCTCCGGGTGCCCAGCAGAACAACAGCCCAGCCTGAAGGACAAGGTAGCAGCGGCCCCGCAAGGTGGATTTGTTTACAGCTTTACACATCTGTATTTGAAGACTGTGAGGGTGGCTCCAGGGCTGGCAGCAGCACACGGCTCAGGCCAAGGTGCCTCTGGACAGGGACAAGTCTCTCATCCCTGAGACAGACCTGGACACTCCTGAATCTGCCGCTTGGGATTGTGCTGCTGCCGCCCGCCGGCTGCCACTCCCCTCCTGGGCCCAGAGTGGGAGGGAGGGAGGGATTGCGCCGGCGTGGGCCGAGGCCAGGCTGGAGCAGCTCTGCTGACACATTCCACGGTGCCGAAGCGGCACTGCAGGGTTGGTGTATATTTATATATGTCGGTCTGTACATATCACATGTTGGTTTTTAATCTATAGGTGGGGGCCTGCAGTGCCCCCACCCTGTCACAGGCACAAATGTCCTCCTATGGGGGGAGCGACCGTCCCAGCTTTGTACCAGGGAGTCCTGGGCAGAGGCCTTCTGTGCCTTGAGGTGTCTAAAGCATCTTTCCTGGACCTTTCTGGCCATGCTGAGGCATCCCTGGCTCCAGCGGAGTCCATTGCTCAGCCCCGAGGCACAGGAAAGCGCTGTGCCAAAGCGTCTACCGTTGCATCCTGGCAGCAGAGCGTCACTGCCTCATCCCCGCTTCCCTGTCTGACGGAGCCTGCTTCCTCCTGCCTTGTCTCGCACATGCTGCCAGCTCCAGGGAGCTGATCCTGGCCCTCCCTCCAGACCGCCGGCTGGCTGCCTGTGGCACAGTGGGACATGGCTGCTCCCACAGCACCTGCTCAGGAGGTACCTGCTGCGGGTCCAAAGGGTCGGCCTGATCCCTGGCGTGGTGCAGGATGGCCTTGGCATGGTTCTACCAGCTCTGGACCAGCCGTCTGTTTGATAGAGGTGCTGCAGTCGCCAGGCCCAGCTTGCTGTTGGAGAAGCCGACACATAAGGGACCCTGCTCTCAGGGAGCAAAGCTGTGGTAAAGGGAATGTCCCTTCCCAGGGCTCTGCTGTGAGCTGTGACCCAAGAGTGAGTGGGGCTGGGACCAGCCTGCCCACCATACTGGCTTAGTGTGCGACCCCAGGGGTCCTGGGGACCCAGCACAGCTCCTGTGCCCAAAGGCAGGGCAGGAGTGGAGGGGCTGGAGCCCTGCGTGTCCCTGGGGAGCAGCGTGGGGCTCAGCCCACCTCTCCCTTCTGCTTGTCCCGTCCTCCCTTGTGTCCACTCGTCCCAGCTGTGTCCCGAGCAATAACTCGTCTCTTCTGTGTGCGTGTATGTCCGCACACGTGTGCGTGCGTGCACATGTGCGTGCTGCTGCCTCGTGCTCGTTCTGAGCCAGGCCCCCCGGGGGGGCTGAGCACCTACTTGGACCTGTGGTATCATTTGCTTGCCTTGCACTAAAGTTGGAGAGTATTTAAATTTTTAACCTTTTGTGAAGTGTAAGATTCACCGCGCCTTGTATTGCTGTCATGTCACGGGGGGTCCTCTGGGCTGTACAGGATT